GTTTAATTCGATACACCCAAAACTACAATTCACATTAGAAGTTGGTGGTAATTCAATTAATTTTTTTAAACACAACCATTTTAATTATAGACGACAAAGTAATCTTTGATTGGTATCGGAAACCGTCTTTTTCGGGGAGATATTTGATCATGTCTAAACACCCACTTTTACAAAAGAAAGGCGTTATCATGGGCATAGTCGACAGGGTGTTCCTTCTTTCTGATCCAATGTTTCATCAAAAAAATTTCGAACTGATTATTAAAATTTTATTGAATAATAACTACCCATTAGAATTTATCTTCAAAACTATTTTACAGAGACTCAAATATCATATAAATAATAAAAATATCACTAAGAAGAAAAAAACGGACACCAATAAAAAATTGCTTTGGTTTACTGTTCCATATGTTAATAATGTATTATAAAATTACAAATTAATATAAAAACTAATAAGTTTTTACAGACTCCTTTAATTAAAATAATTAATAAAACCATAATAGGAGTCGACGCTGGTTATCAGTTAGCGCAATTTTTCTTAATACTAAAAATATTAACCTTAACTTTGAACGTTTCCACTCATTATTTCCACTTATTTAACCGACTGTCGAAATGACAAGACACATATTGTTCTCGCAGTTATTTTTTAAAAATTGACGATAATTTATAACATATTAACGAGTTACAAAATGTTAAATAAGAGAAATTTATTGTTCAGTGTAGAAGCGTCGACTGTGTGAGCTTGAGTTCTCATTGCCATTCAGCTTTCTAATTTTGTGAGTATGTGACTTACTTCACAGTAAACGGTTTAATATTTGAGAGGAAAAACGTTGGAGATATCATTTTGTCATGCAATACTCCAATCGTTACGCTAGAGTGAACGATTGCTGATGAAGACTCAAACCATGAGTGAAAACGTTCAAAGTTAAGGTTAATTGCCTGTAATACATATTTTATGGTTTTATTAGTTAATAATGTATCTAACAAATTTAAGAAAATGATTAATGGCACAATATCAAAGATTACATTTTATATTGTTAACAAACTGCATAGTTTAATAAGAATACACAAAGATCCGTTACCAATCATTGCACAAAGGAATGTGGTATATAGGATTGCTTACAAGAATTGTGAAGCTTCGTACGTGGGGCAAACAAGTCAAAACTAGAATATTTGACATGCCAACCACATTAATAGAAAAACGTCAGTTAGTTCAGTGATAACAGACCATAGATTACAATACAATCATAAATTTGATTGGAACGAAGTGTGGATACTGGACAGGGAAAGAAATTTTAATAAAAGATTGACTTCCGAAATGTTACACATTAAAACACAAAAAATGAGTTTAAATTTACAAACGAATACGCAATTTCTTGACCATGCCTATACTTCGATTCTAGAAACCATCTAGTTAAAATTTGTTTATGACTAAATATGTATTACGAGTAAATACTTTGTTCTCTGTTAGTTATTTATCGGTGATGACACGTAGCATTATTTTTGTCTAATAGCGTTTTTTATTGGCAAAACTAGTGCGCACTCAATGCACATTATAAAGCTGTTGTACACTATTCTAATCTAAATATAAAAATGAGATATCTCAATTGATAAAATACCCAAAATTTATTTTATCAAATAGCACAATAAAATGTATCGAATATTTCACGGTTTAATTCGTTTATATATTTTTATTAAATGTATATCTTTATGTCGATTTTTGTACAACGGCTTTAAAGTGCACTGAGTGTGCACTAGTTCTGCAAATGAAAAACGCTATAAGTAACCGAACCACTCATTTAAAATGTAGAATTATCGCGCATATTTGACAAATTTTTAATTTTTGATGAAGAACACTAATTTTATTACATGCATTGATGACTGCTGAATGTTTATGTATAATCTGTTTGCAATTTGGTGAGTGACTATCCGTGATTATTTCTGTACATACAATTTTATCATTGACCGCTATTAATTCGTAATGTCTTTATAGCTTTACTTGCAGGAGCTTTCATTGTTTTATTCGATTGAATAACCAAGATAGTACTCGAGGAAACATCGCAGTGAGGCGGATGGTTGGCACCAGGATTGCACAGATTATCAGGATAGTTTAATTTTAATTTATGTATTTCGTTGAGAATGACTTAAATCAAGTCGAAACGTGTATGAAAGAAAATGTATGTCTAACAGAAGAGATAATATAAATTTAAAGTAATAATAATGTAATCTTCTCTCTCTCTCTCTCTTACGGACTCTCTCAAATTCAACAACAAAAAACTTCAAACCAGGGCGAATCAGCGTGGTAATTAATACGCAATCTTAATTAAAAGAATTAAGATTGCGTATTAATTACCACGCTGACTCTCATTTGCCCTGGTTTTGGAATTTTTTGTCGTTGAATATAAATGTATGTCTAATATTAAATTAACGCACTAACTATCGCGTTGACCGCTACATTCCAGGAAATTTTGTACTTTAATTTGTTGATTTCAAAAGTATCTTATAATAATGAAAAAAATTATTATTTATTAAGAATAATAAATTAAAAAGGTTTTTTTATCATTATTACACAAAGTAAATTTTTTAAATTACTCAAAACAATAACGAGAGAATAAAGGGCACGTAAGAGTCAAATATAATAAAATATATTAAAACATGAAAAATTAAAAGAAAATATGAATAATATAATATTCTATAATTGATTAAAATATGACATGTTTCGGTCTCACGATTGAGCCTTCTTCAGATATACATACAAGAGATGTTACATTAGATGAAAGCAGTCGAAAAGAATTATACATAAAGTGATGATAGCCAGTGAGATGCTTTACTGACAAGTAAACCTTAAGAAATGTCAAACGCCGATTTTTCTCAAAATTTTTACAGTTGTTTCTTATGACAAAATAACAAGAAATCTGTCATTAATTTTAGCCCAAATGCGTGTGTCTGTTAAAAAAAATTTTTGTGTTATTCTTTACAATTACTCAATTTTTATATGTTTAAAGCAATGTTTCTAACAAATGAATCTGTACCCGATTTTTTGAAGCTCGATACGCATATAGAACACTAAAATAATAACAATAATTATTAATAGTAAAGAAACGATTTCTCTTGAAAAAACTTTTTACAGAAATAGAGCTGGGTGCTCATCTGGATTAACCTCACGGTATCCTAATTCAAAAAATCACTAACTAAATCGAGAAAAATCACTAAATCGCTATTACGCAACAAAAAAAATAATCTAGTTTGCCCCTTTACCTGTTTATTATTTTCTTGATTTTCTTTATTTTTTATATATTATTATAATTCTACATATTATAATATTATATATATTATTATATATAATATTATAATACGTAGAATTATAATATATAAAAAATAAAGAATGTCAAGAAAATAATAAGGTAAAGGGGCAAACTAGATTATTTTTTTTTGTTGCGTAATAGCGATTTAGTTAGTGAATTTTTGAATTAGGATAAATCGGGTACAAATTCATTTGTCAGAAATATTGCTTTAAACATATAAAAATCGAGCAATTGTAAAGAATAACAAAAAATTTTTTTTAACAGACACACGCAATTTGGGCTAAAATTAATGACAGATTTCTTGTTATTTTGTCATAAGAAACAACTGTAAAAATTTTGAGAAAAATCGGCGTCTGACATTTCTTAAGGTTTACTTGTGAAAAACGGAAATCACTCGCAAACGGCTGAATGATCGGTTGTTTGAAATTTTCCGGTATTCTGGTAACAATCAAGTTAGAAATAAATTACGAGAATAATAAAAAAGAAATTAAGTAAATTCGTCACTCTGGTCAAAACAACTTACCTAGCTGGCCATACAATAAAATTTCTCAGAGACCGAAACATATCATATTTTAATCAATTATAGAATATTATATTATTCATATTTTCTTTTAATTTTTCATGTTTTAATATACTTTATTATATTTGACACTTATGTGCCCTTTATTCCCTCGTTATTATTTTTAAATTAAGAGTTCTTCATTCTTGTAATAACTTATTAAATTATTCAACTTTCATTAAAAAATTTTTTCTGTTTTTTATAGTTTCAACAATATTTATTTTGAAAGAAAATGACTTACCTTAGATGGATAGAAAAATTTACCTTAGATGGGTGTTTCACATCCTAAAAGTACATATAAGCACGTGTACAAAAAATACGTACTCCTTATTTTGATCTAAATTATAACGTATTATATTATTAGAAATTTAAAATACCTATTACGGTCGAAGCTGGATCGTCATTGCTTTAAATAATTCAATCTTGAATTACTAATATACACTATATGTATATGTACTTGCACATATACCATATTGTAGTCTTTTCAAACTGCGCACCGAATTGTTTTTTCGAACTTATAAACACAATTAAAACTACTGTAATAATCGCGAAATAAATTGACAAGCAATTTTAATAATTTAATGATACCATTATGCATCCTGTTACAAAGATGTTAATATATTGAAACTGTTAATAAATTTATTGCGAAAAATATTATCTCGGCTGGGACTTAAACCTCTTGTATTTCATACGAGCGTCCTAAGCCATTAGACCACCGATGCCTTAATACTTATGCAAATACATAATATATAGTATATATTAATAATTCAAGATTGAATTATTTAAAGCAATGAAGATCCAGCTTCGACCGTAATAGGTATTTTAAATTTCTAGTATTGATTGTGTTTCTCACATATGCTGTCTAAAATAAAGATTCTTAATATTGTATTATATTATACTATAATAATTAATATTAATAAATATATAATGTGTAATAAATAGTTTCTTACTAATCTGTTTGCATCTATTTGTATCTATTTGTATCTTCTAACTAAAAATAAATTTATATTTACACAATGAATAATCTCATAAGTTTTTCATTTTTGCTTTTGTACTCGACTGATTGGTACACACCTGATTTCAATATGGAAACTCACTGAAAGAGAAAGTATGATAGAGTGTCGTAAACCGCTAGGTAAGTTCGTTACTGTCGAGAGCGAAATCTGTTAGTCAACGACGTGGATCGTTTGTGAACAATATAGTGGCAAGTTTCTACAGATAATTATCGTATTCTTTAGAATAAATTAATTTACGCAAGTTAAATTTGTACGATTAATACAACATCCTCTTTAGTTTTATTAAATACTTTATTTTATTCTTTTTTAAAATAACGGACAAAGCATATTTATACGTTGTACATTAATTTAATTAGCGGAAAAGTTATTTTAATCTTCCTAATTATTTAGATTAATAGTTTTATAAGTGTGAGTTCGAAATTATAAATTTCTGTTTAAAAGATATAATTTTAGGTACTTTTTAATATACTCCACTAAGGAAGACCATGTTGCGAATTTTAATGATTTCATTTATCTGCACGTTGGATTTACTGAGTGCTCGTCCTATGGAGGAACCGACAAAATTCACTCTTGGCAACATACAAAATAATACCGAAAACGCCGTACCCTCAAAACTGAAAACAACAGAGGTAAAATTTTTTGCTTATAATTCGCGAAAATAAATGAAAATGCAACCTTTGGAAAACGCTAATCAAAAAAATAATTATTAGATCCATTCATTGAAAGCAATAAAACAAAAAGTCATAAATCTGAATTGATCTAAAAATCTACATAAGAAATTGTTCCTTAGCTGTACTCAAAATTCTAATTAGATTCTCGTGATTCGCCACTGTAATCGGCAGGCGAAGTCAAAATTGCTATTTCGTAGGAATTATTAGAACGTGTCAGCGATGCTATTAGAATTGGCAGAGGAAGGTTTGTCAATTTGATAATATTGGCTAGAAACATCATTATCAATCGAGCAGAGGTAATTAGTAGCATTTATACAACGACAATTTATTTCTGATAACATGATATTCGCGGAGGCCCAATTTAATATAATCTTCATTGAAATTTATAGAAAGTCACCGTGTGTTCTACTAGGTGTATAACTAACAAGTAAACATACCCAAGTGTAACTCTCCGATTTTGATGAGCTTTTAGTATGTTGTTCTTCAAACAAAAATAAGCGACACGTATTTTTTTATACGTGCCCATACGCACTTTTAAGGGGTGAAACACCCCTTTGAAAAAAATCGGTTTTTCTCTTTCGAAGCGAATATCGTCGAAACTATAAGAGATAGAAAAAAATGTCTCAAAT